AAACTTTTCACCTCTGTTCAACACAATAATCAGATTGAGCACCCACAGGAGGAGTCTCGCTTCACTGAAGACAATGGCAGTGTCCTTCAAGTTTTCAAGGTTCATGTCGGCCTCACCAGAGCGGATGAAGACCATGGTTTGCAAGGCTGTCATCGGATTGATGTTGGGGCTTCTACCGTTAATGGAGTTGCCATGGGAGAATGGAATTGCATGGGAGAATGGAATTGCAAAAGCTTTGAATTGGAATTTGAATTGGAGTTAACAAGAGAGATAAGGGGTGGGGGAGGTTAGTGGGCGGACAAGACGGAGAACAATTGGGCTCTTTGTTTTTTCTAATTTTTATCTCTATCAAACCAACAGCTGCTGTATTACTATTTTATTCAAGGCCCATAGTTAATGGGCTAATCGTTTTTTTTGAGTAAATGGGCTAACAATATCCTAATTTCTTAAAGTTTGTTATTTTACACAACCTATAATTATTGGTATTTCAAAGAACATACTAAATCATTTTTTATTATAATTATTACGGACTTTGATCATTTTTGAAAGATTATATAATGATACCCTCAATACGAACACGTCTATATCATTTTAGTGATCATTAAATATTCATATTGACTTGATTTTAGAGTAGAAACATACAAACATGCATTTTTAGGTGAGGTGTGAGTCGAAAAAAATATTCACATATCTAGTATCTGTTACCGTTACGTAATGTTCGATATGACCTGTGTCCATTACGTCGTTACTATTGTTTGCGGTGTGTCAAATATTGTAAAATCACTTATTAAAATTTCTGATTTGAATTATGTAAAATATAACAAAACAATTACAGTAAAGAGTTACACAGAAACGAAAGAGTTACAGCAGGGTAACGAAACAGTAACAACACACAGATACACATAACTGTTTGTTTAAACAATAAAAATACTAACCCAATTGCAGAACAGGAATTGTTATTGAACTTTAGGTAGATCAAGACTAGCGTTTGATACGTTGTTCTTAAGACAAATTTCGCCAACACAAATGGTGCTTATGGAAACTGAACGCCTGTCTCCCAAGATACAATGATCTTTACATAAACAGAAATAACACTCCAATTTGCTTGTCCAGCATACCAAAATCGTGTTGTGTACTCTCTAAATGCACTGCCTTAATGCCAAAAATAATATGTTCTAATGTCTGCCTTATTGTCGAAAAGGGACTAATTAATTGAATGAAATTAATGGAAATGAGGCTGGGTATTTATAAACACATTGGTGACTTTCCGGATGTTCGTCCAACAAACCAAAATTATGTTGTGTACTCTCTAAATGCACTACCTTAATGTCGAAAATGATATGTTCTAATGTTTACCTTATTGTCGAAAAAAGACTGATTAATTGAATAAAATTAATGAAAATGAGGTTGGGTATTTATAGACACATTGGTGACTTTTCAGATAGTCACCTTATTAAAGGATACAATCCAGAATGACAAGACACAACAGCCAATAGACACCTTGAGTAACTATTCATGGCGGGCGGTGCGCGCGCGTGTGTGTGGTTGAACCGAAGACATGTAGGTGTTCGCTTTGCTCATAAAACTTTGGTATCCTTTAAGGCCCAATCCTATAGAGTAAACTTGACTTATATATGCCCATGTTGAATTTCTTCTTCAACCAATGTGGGATTGATGTCATATCACACTTTGTATTTCCTTTATTTTCACATTTAAAGTGGGTCATTTTAGAGCCTATTTTCTTATTCATTTCTTACTCGATTTGAGCAAGTGAATATATTACATTATTCTCCTCATGGAGTAGAATATGAACCCACAAAATTTTATTCAAAATAACGATCGGGTGCCACTTTAATTTAGATTTAAAATCGACCAAAATTCAATTTTTACACTTACAAAACTGTTTTAATCCAACAGTTATCATAACCTTTACAGCGACCGTTACCATTATTATAGTTCTTGTACCTCTATAAGTTTAGGAATCTACAAACCCACACCATTATCAGTTGCTCTTTAATCATCTCCCTCTCATAATACACACGCTCTCTCACACATATACATTTACACATTTATACACTCAAACTTACCTATATATGTAAAACTAAGTCTTCTCCAACACCATCTAAGTTGCTTTTGATCCTCATGTTATCGGTGCCGTCGCACAGGGAGTGTAAAAACTATTTCATTCTTAAGCTTCTTCAGTTGGACTGTAGAGTAAATTTGCACATGTGGGAGAGATAAGGTGATAACAGTGTTTATGGGTATGTGAGGGTTGGAAGTAAAATACTTATGGCGTGGAGAGAGAGTGTAGTATGTAACTATTTATCAATGGTGGTCTTTTCTAATTTTCATGACAACCACAGAGGACACCTATTCTCAAGGTTCTATAGTTCCACCACATTGATTTGGCTGGTGGAGTATTGATGTGGCCATTTAAGTCGACCGAAGATTGTATCAAATATGATACCTATCAAAAATTATCGAAAAATTGAACGCATGTATTGCATAAACATATATTTGTAATAATTAATAAAATATATCTTTATTTTTAGATGAATCCTTTTTTATCATGGTTTTAGTTGCGTTTCAAAAATAAATATTTTGATGTTAAAACATCTAACACGATTAATTAAATAAATCAAACCAAATTTGTCTAATAGTAGAGAAGAACTTGAAATAACATAATATGAAGAGGATACGACACAATTGGACTGACAATCCAACCTCTTATGCTTCACCAGTNTGTTCCACCACATTGATGAAGGCAGAGTACTACTTTACCCGGGGAATTGAATGTCGCATTGGCTGGTGGAGTATTGATGTGGCCATTTAAGTCGACCGAAGATTGTATCAAATATNAGTTCCACCACATTGATTTGGCTGGTGGAGTATTGATGTGGCCATTTAAGTCGACCGAAGATTGTATCAAATATGATACCTATCAAAAATTATCGAAAAATTGAACGCATGTATTGCATAAACATATATTTGTAATAATTAATAAAATATATCTTTATTTTTAGATGAATCCTTTTTTATCATGGTTTTAGTTGCGTTTCAAAAATAAATATTTTGATGTTAAAACATCTAACACGATTAATTAAATAAATCAAACCAAATTTGTCTAATAGTAGAGAAGAACTTGAAATAACATAATATGAAGAGGATACGACACAATTGGACTGACAATCCAACCTCTTATGCTTCACCAGTCCTATACAGAAGAACGAATTATATGTATGTGAGGTGTATGAGGACGATTGTCGAGTTCAAACAACAATTTCCAAAAGTTGAGGGTAATATTGATAAGCAATTGTTATTTTACACATTTGAAATATTATCACCATACATACTTTGTATAAATTGATTTGTCTTTTGATTCACAAGTACTTCCAAAAAGTATGTTCACCAAACATACAACTTTTTTTAGAAGTTCATCCCATAAAATCTATCTCATAAAATCTATTTTTTAGGTAGACTTTTATTTTAAGAAGTTACGCCAAACACAAGCCACAAGGTAGACTAAAAATGTCATAAACAAATAGGTCTAACTGTTTTAAGGTTAACCTTCAACACAATCATGTTAGAACTTTTTTTTTGTCTTGATTAAAGACGAATATAGAGTATACATTTATGATATTTTTGGTTGGGTAGATGAGAAAATAAATAAATAAAAAGTGGGAGTGATACATTTTCTATCTTTCAAGAGAGAAATGTTTTTTTTCCCTTCTTTGTGTTTGGTAGGATGAAAAAGTTGAAGGATAGAATATATATATATATATAATTAATGCATACACAATATGTAATAAATAAATAAATATGATATATGCATATATTGAAAGATATATAGCACATAATTAACTTTCTATCCATTTTTTCTCTCAATTTTAGAGGGATTGATTTTGGTAAATTGAAAAAAAATTAATTCATTTACTTTTTCATCATTCCTATTTTCATTCCTTACCAAATGTGATATTTTATTTATCCTTTCAACTTTTCGTCACACCAAACAAAACATTTGGATGAGATATTAGGGATTTCATAGTGTATATTATGTTAAGGAAACAGAAGCTGCTAAGTACTCAGATAAGGATATTGAGGAGATAAAGATAAAATCTGATCACATGGCAGTGATTAACTGGAACCTAATGAGGAGAGCTATTGGAAGGATTCTCACGGTTGAGTGCACTCCAATGAGCTTTTCCCCAAACCTAGTCTCTCCAAAAATTTTATTTTCAAAATCAGTTAATTTTAAACTTATTTTTCAAACTCAATCTCTTTTTGAAAACGTCATTCCAAATGATGTCTTCATGAGTTAAAACGTCATTTGAAATAACGATTTTAAAATAAAATTTTTTTATTGAAAAAGTCATTCAAAATGACGTTTTTAAATGTATCATTTTTAATGACGTTTTTTAAAATAAATTTTTAAACGGCAACTAACAGACGTTAAAAAAATAGTGGGTAGAAAACATCATTTATAATGACGTTTTTAATAATGATGTTTTCTACCCACTATTAATCCTTCCCCAACTTTCAAATAGACAAGAACTATTTAGAATTCATATTTCATTCCATTTTTTAAAATGAAATAGAAGTGGCTTGTTTAATGTCCCTAGTTCAGTACAGAGAGCTTGTGCAGTGTTGTAAGAATATATTAGGGTTAAAAACAGAATGGTGAATATTTTGTTAGATTGACATAGACATGGCTTTTTCATGTTTCCTTCTTTTGGGATCCCTAGTAGACATGTTTCTGGAAGACCAGAGCCCAAAAATAAAGCCCCCTATCCAAACCACCTACAAGATGAAACCCACCATTCCAGTGGCAACAACCAACTTCCCCCACCCTGTAACCACCTCAATGATCAATCTGTTTTAATTCAATGAATTCATGGAACTTGATTGAACACATGAAGAAAACCTACCTGATTTGAATAAGAAACAAGTTGCAGGAAGGGGGAGAGGGGTGATTGAGACAGAGGTGGGGCAGGCGGTTGAGCTCAAAGGTCACAGTTTTGGGGGACGGGGACGTCATCTACTGAACCATCTAAGTACAAATCAAACACTTCAAGAACTAAATTAACAATATCAATACTTTGGGAACCAAAATTGAGATGAAATACATATATTAAGAACCAATATGTTAGTATTTTTGCATCTTCATTTACATTAATTCTGCTCACAAACTCCTCACTTCCATGATTGGATCCTGCTAGTATTTCGTTGGAGATTATGTGAATGTTCTTTTCTGTTGCGAAGTCCAAAAGGTTGTAAAGTGCCTCCCGATTGAGAAGACTGCCCATAGGCTTTGAAGGGGTTGAAATTATGATTCCATGAACTTTAAGACCGCGTTTCTTTGCCTGATTGAATCCTCGGTCAAGGGAAATTGTACTTAAATTGAAGTTGTCTGTACTACGGCAAGGAACAGGTATAATCTCCACCCCAGTTCGCCATTTGACATCCCTGTCAAGACTGCATATTGTGTTTCAGGTTTAGTCTTCTGTGGAGGAAAAATGATTAAAGCAATACTAGTGAAATTAGCATTGAAACATAATGATTAAATCCAACTCAACTGACTACAACAAACACTCTTTACTTTCCAAATTACTAAAGCCAAAACTTTCCATATATGCATGAACAAGATATATAGGACCCCTGCACTGATTGATGGACACAGACAAAATAAAAAGAAAATCATAGGTAAATTATTAGCCACAATACACATTGTCAATACGTATGCCTTGTTAACTGTATCATATAGGATACAATGATATTTACACAAGATACTAGTCTGGTTGGATTTCCAAAAAAGATCTAATGTAATAATTCTATTAAAGATTACTCTAATTTTCTAGCTCAGGTGTATTAAGATAAATTTACTTTTGATTTCCTATTCCTTCACCACAAATCCTATACTACAACAGTTTCTAAAAACAAAGACTTTTCAGGCCCACTACAGGAGAATAAGAAGTACGAAATTCACTAGTATAGGCATAATGTTGCACACTAACATGTAGCCACAATGAAAAATTACCCACATAAGCCCCTGGATTTTGGAGCCCTTCAATGAAAAATTACCCACAAAAAAAAAAAAACACGCAAATATCATACACAAATTGAAAACAGTGCATTGTAGAACAATGTCCTAGAAACCTTGTTAGCATGCATTAAGCAAACCACTGCAGTTAGATTGAATGGCATTCCCAGTCACAACGATGAGCTCTCATGGAAAATGCCATGGAAATTACTCAAAAATATTTGTAGTCCAGACCTACCCTAACAAATTCAGCAAAACTTAAAAATTCCATTAGCAGTAAAGTGCCAAAAATCATAACTTTTCACCAAACCAGTAGAACAAAAGGGTATAATTTCCAGCAAAAGGGTATAATTTCCAAATTTCAATTCACAAAATTCATATCAAAACATACACAAACGGTAAAACTAAACAATGAAGCATATTCACATTAATCTATTGAACATTCTTAAAGTACCCAAGGTTGAATAAAATGAACAAACAAACAGCACACATTTGAATCAATAACTGGAAAATGAATCAAGAAGTATGAACCTCCAGCCCATAAATTTCTGAAGAAAGAGAGACAGAGACCACACTACCTTAGGTGGGTCGCCGGAGTAGAGTTCAGCAGTCATTGTAGGACAGGAACAAAAATAGAGAGAGACTCCACAACTTTGCGAACTCCTTCTCAAACCTCAGATCTTTCGTCGGAGGAGTGGTTCTTTGTCGGCAAAGTGTCTTCGTCAGAGGTAAAAGCTTGCACCGAAGTGATCTTCGTCGAAGGTGTGGAGTGGAGAGGATGGGTAAATCGACGGGTCTAGGGTTTTTGTGATTTGAGAAAGTTAGGGGCCGATTATAAGTGGATAGAAAACGTCATTTACAATGACTTTTTCTACTCACTATTATTTTTAACGTTCGTTAGTTACCGTTTAAAAAAAGTTATTTTAAATGACGTCTTTAAAAATGTCATTTTGAATGACGTTTTTAATACACAAATTTCAATTTAAAATCGTCATTTCAAATGACGTTTTAACCCGTGAAGGCGTTATTTGAAATAAAGTTTTTTAAAAAAGATTGAGTTTGGAAAATAAGTTAAAAACTGACTGGATTTGAGAATAAAGTTTTTGAAGAGACTGGGTTTGAGAAAAAGCTCGCACTCCAACATACGGTCACAAGTACATTGATACTCCAATATTTTAGTATTAGAGTATTAATCAAAGTGTATTGTTATTTTTTAGTTTTCTGATATCTTTTGTAATTGATTTTGTATCTTTGATATCCTATATAAGAAATGAAATACATCTCTCCCTCTCACCGGTTTTGGTAGAGGTTCAGCTTCAAGTTTTTTGGTTCTCTACATGGTCTTAGAGCCTACAAAACCTCTGCTAAAATGGCATCATCTCTCACTTTTTAAAATCTTTCTCAACTCTCTTCTATGGTGAATATAAAACTCACCCCTAAAAATTACTTGATCTGGAGATATCAAGTACTTAATTTGGTTATTGGAGCCGGTCTTTTTGAGTATATAAACAAAGACGCTCAATATCCAAAATCGATGATTACTACTGCCGAAGAAAAAGAAGAGCCAAATACTGTCTACAACTCATGGAGAAAATCTGATCATCTGCTCAAAAAGTTTTGCTTCTACGTCCGAGGAAAGGGAATGAAATCTTTATCATGAACTCTAGCAAATTCGCAAAGAAATCCAATGACTAATTTTTTGGCTAGATTCAAAAAAATTTGTGATGAACTTGTAGCAAGTGAAAAGATCTTGACCGACTCGGATAAGGTTATGTGCGCAATAAATGACCTTGGCCCAAAATTCGATCCAATAAAAAAGGGTGAGTGTCTCTTTTTCCTTTTTGTGCTGTGTTTTTGAATTTCACTATGCGTCCAGAGACAGAGCTCTTAGTTCCGCCATGAATCAAGCCTACCTCTCCGTTAGCGCCACTTCTGTTCTCAGAAAGGTCCTTCTTCATGTCTCCCTCTATCCCTCTGTTTTTGTTTACTGAACAGTTTGGTAAGTGGAAAATCTAGAGAGAGAGAGAGAGAGAGAAAATAAAAGTTATTAAATGTCAAACAAATTACTATCATTTGTCGACTAAAATTATGTTCATCTTTTCTGTTAGTTCTTGGCCTACATCATTCAACTTATATGTGCGTATCAATAATTCTTCACTCCAATTCATCCTATAACAATTTTATTAAATAAAACCATTTTGTTAGTGCACACCATCTAAATTCCTTGAAGCCATCCAATTTTTATGTTATACTTAAAATTAAATCTTACATCAAGAGGTTTAATTTTTCTTTGGATCTTTGATATTACCGTATAAGTTTGTAGTTTGTGGCATCCAAATGCTTTCTAACGTATGGGTGTTTATTCTTAGATGATATTTTTGTCTCTTAGTTCTTGCATTTTTTGGGTAATTCTTTCTACACGTATGCACATGTCAATGTTTTGTTAGTAGTTGAGATTTATGAAATTTATGTTGTCTATGTAAAGTAGCGTGATGGATTTTTGGTTGTCCACACTCACTACGCACATATATAGTTTGTTTGATGAAATGTCTCAAGTGTTAGATTGTATTTTAATATGTATTTCTTTATTTCTTTTCTTTGATCAAACCGTAAACTCATAAACATAGTACTGCCAAGAACAAATACGATGATTCTAAGTAAATGCGAATGGATATGAGTAGGTATATCCTCTGTTAAGTGTAGCCATGGCTATTTACAGAATGCAATTGGTCCACATCTCCATCAACCTTGAAGTCAGGTGCATATGTATCTTCTTCTTTTTTAATCAAAAAGTGTGTATGTATCTAGACAATACTTTTTCGTCATTTGTTCAACCAATGGATGTATTTTGTTAAAGCCAAGCATTTTACATGAATGAAGCTTCATTTAAGACCGGTGAAAATTAAAAAATTTATATATTTATATAAGGGCTGTTTTTTTTANAGATGTATTTTGTTAAAGCCAAGCATTTTACATGAATGAAGCTTCATTTAAGACCGGTGAAAATTAAAAAAATTATATATTTATATAAGGGCTGTTTTTTTTATGTTTGTTTGTGTTAGAAATTTCAAATAAGTTGTCCTTTGTATTTACTTGATGTTGTATTGAATTTTTTGATGAAATAGGTAAGTTATTTTTTTATAGCATTTGTACAGTACCTGTAGCAGTTTTTTTTCTCACAGTTTTACTTTGCTTTTATGTTTATCTTTGTGTTTTGCTATTGCAAATGGTATGAGTTGGGAAGATTTAGGTTTGAATGGTAAAAGAGAAGAAATTTAGAAATCATGTTGTTGGTTTGTGTTCGGGTTTCCTCTCTATACATTTGCTTGTTATATAGTGTCTTTTTGCACACGCAATTAAAAGTTATTTAATATAGTGAGATAAATTTTCTACACATTCAAATTTTATGTTTCATCGTACCTTCAAACACAGATTATGACTAGTATATATATGTTGATTTTTCTAGTAATACCAGTTAAATTTTCTTCAAAAACTTTTTTGATTTCTAAAATCCTAAAGCAATTTGGAAAAATATATTCTCTATAATATTATTATTAATATACCAAACTGCTAAATTATTTTAATAAACCAACATAAATAATAAATTCTTTTAAAATTCATTTGGCCTCCCATCAAACTGGAATACTATTTGAGTAATAAACTAATTAGAGATCTAATAAAATAAGTAATAATAGTTTAAGTCAAACTCTAACATAGAAGTTTCTGAAATTAAATTTGAAACTTGGAAATGGTGATCTTGCCACAATGTGTTGGGAAAGACCACTTCAAACAATAATAGCATAATTATTATTGAAAAATGCTATATAACTCAAACGAAATTCAAATTTATATCATCTTGTTGATGAATATGCAATAAGTGGGTCCCATTGAAAAAATTGATAGGATCACTTATTTAAGGGATGATATGCATTTAAACCACAATTTTTCGAGTTTGATTTCGGTTTTGTAGTATTGCTCATTATTATTCTTCCATGTGTTGAATTAGAAATTACAAGAGAGAATTAAATGTTTCACAAAATGTTTTAGAGAACCCGAAATTACAATCTATATTTGACAAAGAAGCACAAAGTTGCTGGCTGATTCAGCATTTACTGATTGATCCAAATTGTAGCAGAGGTAAAGAGATTTACTGGGGGTTTGGTGGACGGCTATTAGCAGCAGAGACCCTAGAGCCCCATTCAAGCAACGCTTTGCTTGTATCATCCTTATGAGCAAACACTTCGATGAAGCACAAGCAATCTTTCTTGGCATTAGTTGCTGTCTTAATTGCTTCAATGAGCTCCTCTTCCAACGGACCTGCGACGAAAAATGCAACAAATGTTTGATGTTCAACACACTGCCCAATTCACTGTTATCTGTAGAACAAAAGCATTATGCAACTCACTCAGCTCACCTTTGTTGTCCAGCAATTGCCTTCACCAATCCAGTGTAGTTCCAGTTCTTGATTACATTGTACGGTCCATCATGGATCTCAGCTTCAATGGTTTAACCACCATTGTTTATCAGGAAGATAATGGTCCTCTGTCCACATCGTAGCATTGTTGAAACATCTTGAGCAGTCACCTGCAACAATTCACCAAGAAGAATGTAAACACACACAAATGTTGGGTGTGAAATTGATTTGATCAGGAGATTACTTCACTGTTTTAAGCCAAATTGTGAACACTTGCCTGTGCATAACCAAGAGTTGCACCCACAGACCAACCAATGGATCCATATTGCATTTGGAACTCGTACCTGCATACCCAAATTTTCACAAACGCTGCAAATAGGAAGAACTCCGGCATAAAAGCAAACAAAAAACCTGCATTCTGTATTGCTCACCCCCATCATTCTGGCAACTTCAGCTTCATCAAAACACACCCAAAAGCAGGCCCATTCCCAATAACCACCCGATCCGGTTGCACAATGATGGCCTTCTCTTTGTTTAGAAGCAGAGAATACCCAACAGAGCTGAAGTCATTGACTATTGGTCCAGCAAACATATATAAATCTCGTAAAAGGTTTTGGTACTGAGGGCTACGTATCACCCGACAATGCCATAAGGTGTAATGTGCATGTGTCAAAATAAATCTCGTAAAAGGTTTTATTTACGTGGATATTTGTTTTGTAAAAAAATTTGTGTGACTATAATGCACTACCCAATAAAAACTTGACAACATAAATTTTCGTTAACTGTGTCTTAAATTCATACAAAAATTTCTTTTCTATTCTATTCTATAAGTAATAGAATAGAATAGAATAGAATAGAGATATTTGGTATTGTCGCGTGGAAGTTATAAGATGAGTGGTCAAAAATAGACACAATTATATGAAAGGTGTATTAAAAGATTTCCCGTGACCAGGGAGGACCGTGGATTATTTATATTAAAATTTGAAGATAGGTCTCACGTTGAGAAGGAAAAGGTCAATTTTATTTTGGACTCTCATGAAAATAGGTCTCCTGTTGATTAGCTACTCTTGTATTTTTATGTTTTATTTGATACGATAAAAAAATAAAATGATAAAAAATTGAACAGATGAAAAGTTAGAGGGATAAATAAAATATCATGTTTGGTAAATAAAGAAAATAAGAAAGATAGAACAGTTGATGAATTAAATTTACTTCCAACTCACGAAAATCAATCCCTCCAAAATCGAAAGGAAAGTGAATGAAAAGTTAATTATTTGTGTTGAGATGTATCTTTTTTGTCTATATATGTTTTGATATATACATATATTGTGTGTATACATTAATTTTATATAAAAATACAATGATAAAATATATATATATATATATATATATATTAAAATTTTAAAAGTAAATTTAAAAATTAAAAATTAAAATTTTAAATAAAAAAAAATATTTTTTTCATTTTAATTAGGGAAGAAAATTTTTGGCTCAACATGATAACACGACTCGAACTTGATTATAACTCAACACGAACTTAAAAATGACCTGACACGCGAATAAAAAATATAAAAACTTTATATTCAGTTCAACCAGTCAAACTCAAAATTTACATCATCAACCCGTTTATTTAAAAATAAACACTTTATCTATTTTCTCATTTTTATGGTAACAAGAGATTAACACGAAACAAACATATTTAACTAGTATTATATATATCAAATGCTAATTATTTGTAACTATTTATTAAACACTAACATAATTATTACATAAAAAATATATTTTTACTTATTATTATTATATTTATTTAAGTTAATTTTTAATTTGTAGAAAAAATATTATCATGGATTCAATTAATTGAAAATAGAATAATAGCGTTAAATTTTTTATTCAAAATTTATGTGAGTCAACACGAATACGAGTACAAACACGATACGAAAATAAACAGGTCAACTTGTAACTCGACACGACACAATTAGTTAAATGAATTGAGTTATGTTTGATTAATGTTCGACACAAACCCATAATGACTTAACACGAATCTGACACGATACGGCTTAATTGTCACCCTTAATTTTAGTTAACAAAAAAAAATTAGTCATTTTTATTTTTCATCCATCCAACCAAACACAAAGGAAAGAAAATGTATCATTTCTACTTTCCTTCTTAAAAGGATAGAAAGTGTATACCTCATACTTTTCATTATTCCTACCATATAGAGTATTATAGATATGCTCTAATTCAATTCAAGAGTTCAAGAGAGCAATTGACGTAAACCAAGATACCTTGTAGTAAAAAATAAATCATTACTCAAAAAGTTCAAAATTAATTTTCCTTTCTCTTCATCCATATGTCATTAGCCATTTATCTTTTATTAAAATTTTAAAAAAATTCACTGATGTATATACCCAGAACAAAAATTGTGGCGATGAATGTGGGAACGGGATTTAGATGGACTATGAATTAGTGGCAAGTTATGGGGCACATAATATTNATTAGCCATTTATCTTTTATTAAAATTTTAAAAAAATTCACTGATGTATATACCCAGAACAAAAATTGTGGCGATGAATGTGGGAACGGGATTTAGATGGACTATGAATTAGTGGCAAGTTATGGGGCACATAATATTAGTGGAAAAGAGGAAGGAAAAGTGAAAGAGTAATGTTATACGGACCAAATTTTGGGATCAAATTTAAAGTCCAAATAACATGATAGTTGATTATTTGAAGTTTTTATTAGGACACATTACACCAATCATAGAAGTCCAAATCAACTGTCATGTCATTTGTGCTCTAAATTTAGTACCAAAATTTGGTCAATCTAGCATTACTGAAAGTCAAACAGTTAAATACCAGAAAATCAACCCAACTTGGCATTTACAAACCTGGCTTAACTGTAATCTGGTTTTTGAATATCTGTTGTTGGTTTTTAATTGTCGTTTAAAAATTTGATTCCAATTCTCCTAACCCATGACTAAATATTAGGAGTAACAGTAAAATTACATCATCACCGTCACGTTGTATTAATATTTAATAATAAATTCACAAGTGAATAAGATAAATTTCACTTAATTGTTATTTTCAAATATTAAGTAGTTATTAAAAGACATAGACTATAATATGTGACATTACGTGACGATAATATCATAGTATCACGGACAGCTGCACTCAATCTAGATTGTGATTGGTTTACGAAGGAACATAAGGGGCCGTTTCCGCTGATGATGTTCAAGGAACAACGTGGCTTGATGTCCAAAACCGCCAGCTTAGTTTGGCTTCACAAAACCGTATGAAATTAATTGGCTGGTAATGGCAATTCTCTCCCCCCAAGTCCTAATTTCTGAGAAAATTTTCATTTTGGAATCACACGTGGCGTGCATGCACATGTCCGTACATTGAGCCAACAAGGCGTGAAAATATTTAGTGCGACATGTACATTGCTAAAGACGTTCAATTCCCAGAACGCCAAATAAATAACCACTCATCCATCAAATATATAATCAATTCTATGTAAGATAATGACGTTCATTTTATTTTTTTTAATTATTTTATTAAATAATTTTACCACATGATATTGTTAACGTGGAATAACTATTACATTAATATTTACTCCATCAACACCAATGGCAGAGCCNGATTATACCACATGATATTGTTAACGTGGAATAACTATTACATTAATATTTACTCCATCAACACCAATGGCAGAGCCGTTATTAGTCGAGGGTGGGCAAATGCCCCCTGCCATTTGGATTACCCCATTTATAAGTGTTATTGCATATACAAGACACTAATGATATTTTTAGCTAGTGGATCCATTAATTTTTACATTTTTTTGGCCTAGGCATGTGGAAGTATTTGGTGATTGTCATAAAAAGTCTAACTTAAGGTATTACCCTACTAAATATAGTGTTTTATTTTTTTATCCGATACTTTAGGACCTATCCTACCCTATCAAGTATAGTATTTCTATTTGACTTTCGACCAAATTAATCAGGTAGGTAGTCGGGTGAACACGTTTTGTAGTTATTAATTTTTGGATTATTTTAATGATTCAATTAGGTAATCTACACTAATTTAACAACACAATAAACTAATAAAACTAAAATCTAAAATAATTACAATAACAATTATAACAAAACCCAAGACATAAATATCAATCTATCATAATTATTGCACAAATACAATAACAACTATNGTTGCCCATTACCACCACATACACAATAAAAAAACACATTCTATGTGATATGTGGTATAAAACACATTATCGCGAAGTCAGCTGGATTCACTACCATAGTAATTAAATAATTAGAGTGGATTCCAATTTAACCCTCATTTTTGTGAAGTCAATATCACTTGTAACTAGGGTTTTGAAACTCGGTCATTACGGTACATAAAAGTCGTTATGTAACAATAACGAAGGCCACTAATCCTGTTACACCCCAATTTTTCTGTAAGAATGAATTTTACATCTGTAACGGCTTATAATGAGTCTGTTATCCTTGTAACGGCCGATCTGAGAAGCCAATAGCAAATCACTAGATCTGCAAGATTTTTCACTTTGTTTCAACACAACAATCAGATTGAGCACCAACTGGGAGTGTCTCACTTCACCCAAGAAAATGGAAGTGTCCTTCAAGTTTTCTAGGTCCATGCCGACCTCGTCAGAGTGGATGAAGACCATGGTTTGCAATGCTATGTGAATAGCAAAGCACCAGATCTGCTAAACTTTTCACCTTGTTTCAACGCAATAATCAGATTTAGCAGTTACCAGAGAAGTCTCACTTTACCCAAGACAATGGAATTGTCCTTCAAGTTTTCGAGGTCCATATCAGCCTCGCCAGAGCGGATGAAGACAATGGTTTGCAAGGTTATAACCGGACTAATGTTAGGGCTTCCACCGTTACTGGAGTTGCCATGGGAGAATGGAATTGCTAGAGCTTTGATGAGATAAAGGAGAAGAAAAAGAGGTTGGAATTTGAATTGGAGTTAACAAGAGAGACAAGGAGTAGGGGAGGTTAGTGGGCTAAGAAGACGAAGAAACAATTGGGTTCTTTGTTTTTTTTTTTTTTAGGGTAATTTGAAAGCCGGTATAAAAATTTAGACTTATTTGAACTAAACTATATTAAAGAAACTTATTTGATCCTAAGTGCATTTTTTTGAAAAAAAGACTAAAAGAGTATTTATTACTCTATTACTCTCTCTCGGTTACTCTTTCACTTTCTCTTCCTTATTTTTTCTCTATATATTTTTCTCTCATATTATAATTTTTTTAAAATATGTAAATATTTGGTTTAATTTTTTTTTCTCACTCCCTCTACCCTTATTTCCTTATTCTCTCCCTTTTTCTCTCTCCTTATATCAATATTACAAAATACAATTACACTAATCAGTTACACCAATTAGTTACAATTACATTATAATACACTAAACAGTTACTCACGTGTTCTAATAAACTAAACAGTTATACTAAACAATTATACGAAATTATAACATCAACTCAATTTGTCATTTAATTATTTACATAAATCAAAGAGTTACACCATTTAATATCACGATATGGTTACACCAAATTGGATTTATCATTATACAAAAGACTTTACCATTATACTAAATTTGATATATATGATTGGTGTAACAATGTCGCAATACTAAATGGTACAACTATTTAATTTATGTAAACAATTGAAAGATAAATTAGATTGGTGTTATAAATTTGTGTAATTGTTTGGTGTAATTGTTTAGTTTATTAGAAAACATGACTAGTTGTTTGGTGTATTATAAGATAATTGTAACTGATTAGCGTAATNTTGTTTAGTTTATTAGAAAGCATGACTAGTTGTTTGGTGTATTATAAGATAATTGTAACTGATTAGCGTAATTGTGTTGTTGTAATGTTGATATAAATGAGAGAGATAGAGAAAAAATAGGGGGAGAGTGAGAGAGAATGGAGAGAGATGAAAAATAAATCAAATCTTTATATATTTGAAAAGAAAATAAATTATTAATGATAAATATAGAAAAAAAAAATAAGGGATAGATGGGGAAAGTAGCGGGAAAAGAGAGATAGATGGAGACAAAATATGAGAAAGACAGATGGAAAGAAAATAGGGGAGAGATAGTTAGAGTGTAATGAAATCTTTACATATTTAATTAGATATATAACTGTCAATCAAAAATGCATAATTTAAGAGAGGGTATTTATGTAAAATAGTTTTGATTTCATTTGAATTTTGTACCTAAACATAATGAGCAATACTATTGAGACCTAATTTACTGACCTAATTCACTATGACCTTTGGATTAACTGTGGGCTCCATCAAACATTGGAACTTAGTGTTTATCTAATGGTTCCAATAAAGCCACATCATTAGGTCAGTAAATTATGTCAGATTTTTAAGTTCAAATGACATTTTTCAAACATAATATGTTTTATTAAAATTGAACTTAATAGAGTAACCAATTTATCGATATATTTTTCCTCAAATAAGTCTAAAAAACTATTACCCATAGCCAAAATATCCTCTCTTTTTTTTAATTTTTATCACTATCAAACCAATAGTGACCCTATTACTATGTTAGGTAATTTGGAAGTCGGTACAAAAATTTAGACTTATTTAGACAAAACTAGATTAACAAAACTTATTTGACCCTAAGTGTATTTTTTTGAAAAAAAAACTAAAAGACAATTTATTACTCCATTACTCTCTGTCATTATCTCTGCATTACTCTCTCTCACTCTTTCTTCCCTGTTTTCCCTCTATGTATTCTCTATCTCTTTCTTTCTCTCACATTGATAATTTATTTATTTTTAAATCTGTAAAGATTGGATTTAATTTTTTTATCTCTCTCCCCTATTTTTTTTTCTCTCTCTCTCGCTCCCTTATATCAAGGTTATAACAACACAATTACATTAATCAATTATACAAATTAGTTACAATTTCCATATAAAACACCAAATAGTTACTCATGTGTTCTAATAAATAAAACAATTATATGAAATTACAACACCAACTCAATTTGTCATTCAGTTATTTACATAAATCAAAGAATTATATCATTTAGTATCACGATATAGTTACACCAAATTAGGTTTATCATTACACAAAAAATTTTACCATTATACTAAATTTGATAACTGTAATTGGTGTAACGATGCCGCGATACTAAATAGTACAACTATTTAGTTTATGTAAACAACCGAATGACAAATTGGGTTAATGTCAAAATTTTATGTAATTGTTTGGTTAATTAGAACACATAGGTAACTATTTGGTATAATATAGTATAATTGTAACTAATTGATATGACTGATTAATGTAATTCTATTGTTATAATATTGATATAAATAGAGAGAGAAAATAGGGAGAGAGAGAGAGAAAAAAAAACAGTTAGAGAAAATAGGGGGAGAGAAAAAAAAATAGGAGAAAGAGATGAAAAAATAAATCAAATCTTTATATATTAGAAAAGGAAATAAATTATCAATGATAGATAAAGAGAGAATATAGGGGAGAGATGAGAAAAGTAACGGGGAGAGAGAGAAAATAGGAGAGATAATCTAATGAAATCTTTACATATTTGATTAGATATATAACTGTCAATCAAGCATAATATAAGGAAAAATATTTAGGTAAAAAAGTTTTAATTTCATTTAAATTTTGTACCTAAACAAAATATGTTTTATTAAAATTAAACTTAAAAGAGTAAACAACTTATCCATATATTTTTCCTCAAAAAAATCTAAAAATGTGTACCAACACCCAAAAACCCCACTATTTTATTCAAGGCCCATAGTTAATGGGCTAATTTTTTTTGGAGTAAATAGGCTAACAACATCCCTAACTTCTTAAAGTTTTTATTCTACACAACCTATAAGTATTGATATTTCAAAGAACATACCAAATCATTTTTTAGTATAATTATTACGGGTTTTGATCATTTTTGAAAGATTATATAACGATACCCTCAATACAAACACGTCTATATCATTTTAGTGATCATTAAATATTCATATTGACTTGATTTTAGACTAGAAATATACAAACATGCATTTGAGAATTAATAGTGATCCAAGTCTTTTTTTTATTTTTATTTTAAACAACTTAGTAGCTCACTGCCTTATCGCCTGCTTGAAACAAATGTTTTATTTTTGAATTGAGGAAAATAAATGTGAAAAGTTATCCCTAACCTTTTTTCTTTAAGTAAGTAGCTTAAAAAAAAATCACTTATACCCTATTTTTGAGATTTAAAAGCTATTTATAGATTATATTTTAAACAAAATTTTATTTTTTAGTTTCATATAATAATTTAGCCTTGATTATATAACACTTTATCATGCTTGAACTTGAAATTTTTTGTATCAATTAGTGAATTTTTTTTCGTCATTTTTTTGTCCCCTCTAAGAGAGGATCCTGGCTCAGCCCCTACTTGTAGCCCTTTAAGTTTAGGAATCTACAAACCCCCGCCATTATCAGTTGCTCTTTAATCATCTCCCTCTCATAGTACACACTCTCTCTCACACATATACATTTACACATTTATACACTCAAACTTACCTGTATATCTGAAACTAAGTCTTCTCCAACACCATCTACGTTGCTTTTGATCCTCGTGTTATCGGTGCCGTCGCACAGGAAGTGTAAAACTATTTCATTCTTAAGCTTCAGTTGGACACTGTAGAGTAAAAACTATTTCATTCTTAAGCTTTATGTGTATGTGAGGGTTGGAAGCAAAATATTTATGGCGTGGAGTGAGACAGTAGTAGGTAACTATTTATCAATGGTGGTCTTTTCTAATTTTCATGACAACCACAGAGGACACCTGTTCTCAAGATTAAATGGTTCTACCACATTGATGAAGGCAGAGTACTACTTTACCCGGGGAAATGAATGTGGCATTGGCTGGTGCAGTATTGATGTGGCCATTTAAGTCGAACGAAGATGGTATCAGATATGATATTTATTCAAAATTATTGAAAATTTGAACGCATGTATTGCATAAACATATATTTTTAATAATTAATAAAATATATCTTTATTTTTAGATGTCTCTTTTTTTTTTTATCATATATCAAAAATAAATATTTTGATGTTAAAACATGTAACACAATCAATTAAACAAATGAAACCAAATTTATCTAAGAGTAGAGAAGAACTTGAAATGAAGAGGATATGACACAATTGGACTGAACTTCCAACCTCTTCTGCTTCACCAGTCCCAAACTGAAGATAGAATTATATGTATGTGGGGTGCATGAGGACAATTGTCGTGTTCAAACAACAATTTCCAAAAGTTGAGGGGAATATTGCTAAGCAATTGTTATTTTACACTTTTGAAATATTATCACCATACACACTTTGTATAAATTGATTTGTTTTTTGATTCACAAGTACTTTCAAAAAGTATGTTCACCAAACATACAACATTTTTTAGAAGTTCATCCCACAAAATCTATATCATAAAATCCATTTTTCAGGTAGACTTTTATTTTAAGAAGTTACGCAAAACACAAGACGTCCCTGCAAATGGTCGGAAGGTACATGCAAACAATTCCTTATCCCTAAATTAAAGAGAGTGAAATGGTTTCATAAACAAATAGATCTAACTGTTTTGAGGTTAACCTTCAACACAATCATTCTAGACGAATATAGAGCATACATTTATGTTATTATTGGTTGAGTGGATGAAAAAATAAAAGAATAAAAAGTGGGTGTACTGCCTTCTTCCCATCTCAACTTGAGGGGGAGTGTTAAGGAAAATGATGCTACTAAGTGCTCATATAAGGATACCGAGGAGACAAAGATAAAATCTCATCATGTTGAGGAAATAAAATCCGATCACAATGCAGTGATTAACTCGGGAGGGGAACATAATGAGGAGAGCTATTGGAACGATTCCCACAGTTGAGTGCACTCCAACTAACGCTCACAAATAGATTGGTACTCTAATAATTTAGCATTAGAGTATTAATCAAAGTGTATTGCTAATTTTTAAGTTTTTTGATATCCTTTGTAATTGATTATGCATCTTTAATCGCCTATATAAGAAATGAAATGCATCTCTCCCTCTCACCGATTTTGGTAGAGGTTCAGCTTCTAGTGTTTTTTGGTTCTCTAGGTGTTATTAATTGGCGATGTAACATTTACTGATGAAATGAAGACATAACTAACACAAAACAAACTTTTGAGGTAATCTCAAGAATCATGAAAATTTAACATAAATCCAAGTACTATTAAATTCATTTTATATATATATATATTTATACGAAGTTTCAGTAAAAATAGAATACTAATAGGCAAAATAAGCTCCATATGGTCCCTGGATAGGATCCGGATCTTGCATTACAATACCTTGATATCAAATTTTGTTACTAATATATGGGTGTTTCAGAGCATCTATTTCTAGAATCGACGCATTAAAAGTCAGTGAGATTAGGAGGATACTTACGCTGTTAATGGCTTCTAATATAACAGATTCTTTTGGAGCTAGCAGCAGTGAGTGGTTTACTTAGGGTTTGGAGGGCGGCCATTGGCAGCAGCAAGCCTGGGACCCAACTTAAGGAGCTCTTTGCTCGTGTCGTACTTATTAACAATCACCTCTATGAAGCACAAGCAGGTTTTCTTCTCCCCCATTGCCATCTCTATAGCCATTACTAATTCCTCCTCACAATGCACCTACAGCAATAAATTCACAGAATGGTCATATCATGTCACACTGTTGAAAATAAGATCAAGTAAAAACATGTGATGTAATGAGATCAGCCAAAGCGATTTTTTAATGCTCATTTATAATCTCAATGAGATGTGATTGTATACTCGCCCTATATTTAAAGATGTAACACATTTGTTCTAAACCACATTCGTCTTTTCTTGATTATTTTATTTTCCACATTCACAATTTATGACACAAGGGAATGTTTCCTCCAAATTTAAGCACAAGGTGTTTAGTTTTGTAGCTCACCTTAGCCGTCCAGCACTTGCCTTCATTATTGTGGATTGCATGTACCAAGCCAGTGTAGTCCCAGTTCTTGATCTCATTGTATGGCCCATCATGAATCTGAGCTTCTGTGGAGTATCCACCATTGTTTATTAGGAAGATAATGCTTCTCTGTTCACATCGTAGCATTGTTGACACTTCTTGTGCAGTCATCTACCAGGCAGCATCAAATATGACAGGTGTTACAGTTTGTGATTATCAATATTTGCAAGTAGTATAGTGTGTATGGTTCGAATAAAATATATGATGAGATTGAATGATTTATTGTTGTACTCCAATTTGTAATTGCCGAAATAATTGATAACAATGGTATATGCTATTAAAGTTAAAAAATGTAAGTGTTCTCTCACATCTAATTTGACTAATTTAACCCAATCCCATTTTTTAATATTTGAATCAAACATACCCTTTGTAAATAATGTGATAAGCCAAGTCTATATATACCTGGAAGCTCCCATCGCCAATGCAAGCAATTATCCGTTTATTCGGTGCAGCCTGTGCGTATCCAAGAGTTGCACCAACTGACCATCCAATCGATGCATAATGCATTTGTAACTGGTACCTGCACTCAACTTTTAAATTTGTCAATATTCTTAAACTATGGTCAATATTGTTGAACTGTCCGCTACCCCCAAAATGTAATGTCTATAATTCTAAAACCAAATACAATATTTGCATGACACAAACACACGCATATTTATATATATGGGTCTAGCTCTTACTGTACAACTTACAAGGATCGTACAATATCGATGGTGAAACTTGAACCCACGATCTCAAACCATAACTCTAATGTCATGTTATTTTAAAATTTCAAGTTATTAAATATCCAAATATAATATGTATGTGAGGCTCTTAACAAAAATCACAAACCAAACCAAAAGTAGTTACACCATACTTGAATTGCTTACCCACATCCTTGTTGTAATTTAAGCTTTTGGCAATTAAACCATGAATCTCCTGTCTCTGCAATCACAACCACGTCTCCTGACAGCATCTTTTGTATGTGCTTGAAGAGAACATTGACCTTTAATGCCTCCATGGGTCCAGTCTGTAAAGGAACTCCCTCTGGAACATATAACCTGTAGTAGTTGTCATAAGCTGTTCTGTTGGACCTAAGCCTTTTGGCAAGTGCTTTGAAGAAATCCTTTCATAAGAACACACCCAAACGTAGGTCCATCACCAATCACCACACGCTGTGGTTGAACAATAACTGCCTTCTCCTTCTTGAAGAGAAATGAGTACCCAACAGAGGTGAGATCGTCAAGGATTGGTCCGGCGCAGAGGTAAGCGTCGGCAGATTCCACAATTTCTGCGCAGATTGAAGTGCTTACTGCACCCCAGTAAGTACCGATGAACCTACGGTGGTTCTCCGGGACAAGCCCCTTGGCCGAGGGCATTACTGCGAGCGCATAGTCACAAGCATCGGCTAGTTCTACAAAGGCATCACATGCCTTTGCAACGCGCAGTTTTGGCCCTCCCACCAAAACTGGCTTTGCTGCTTTGTTTAAAAATGCTGCTGCTGCCTCAACTGCTGCTTCTAAGCACATTGGATTACTCTTCCTACACAAAAGTTATTACAACATAAATGTGAGATTATGATTAAATTTGGTGAGGTTATGACTCAATTTAATCAACTTACAACACAAGAAGGCTATATTACCGTTGCAGAATATTGGAATTGATCTAAAACAACCATATTTCCACGTTAATTCACCAGATTGTTATTGGTATGAAAATCAAAAATAATCTTTTTGGTACCATACTCTTGTCATACTAGTATGGTATTGGATCAAGAGATTACCTTGGAATCAAGAAAAAAGGAATTGGCTTGTGAATGAAAGAAGGGTGAGGAATGCTCGCCAAATTACTGCTTATTAATATGTAGACAGGCTTGCTTTCTCTTAACGCTGTTACAATGGCTGCATCAATCTGTTCATGTGCATCTTCCAAATCGATCACAACTGCCTAGAATTGAAGAGAACGAGTTACAAACAATAAATAATGTGAAAGAAAAAAAAAAGTAAGGCTATATTAACATGAGAACCACCTCGCTTTCTAATGCTCATGAATTTGTATATAAAATTTAGGCCGACAACTTTGATCTTGAGTTAAGTATTTTTTTTGGGTGAGTGTATGTATCTAATTTAATTTGTGGTATCAAAGCCAAAATAATCCTAATAAAAAGTAACTAGTGTATGCTTCACCAAAATATGAGCCAAAAACTAAAAGAATGTATTATTAAAACCTAAAAATCTGACCTACTTTGACTGATATGGTCTAACAATATTTATACTTCTTCATTTAGACTCTATAAGGGGACATATCGTCAGTGTATTATGTTAGACTTTGAGGGCATGTTTGGATTCTCGAAGTTGGATTGGGTTGGATTGGTTTTGAACTTAATCTCATCCGCCCTAATGCAAAGATGTCCAAGGGGAGAGATGTCCAATGCATATGTATCTCATCTAATCATTCATTTAGGTAGATACATGTCAAGTGTCAGCCCATGCACATGTCTAAATCAAGTAATATTAAAATGACCATTAATCCTAGTTTTTTATTATTTTGAGGTATATTGATAAAAATAATTTTTATCTCGTTGTAAGAAAATATATTCTATGGTGTGCTCTTCAAATCCAAGTCAAAAGAGATTATTTTTATCCTACGGGCCGACTAATTGAGCCCAACATTTATCTCACCTCTATTACATGATCCAAATTGGGGATTTTTTGGGGCCCCAAAGATTATTTTAGCCAATCCTACTCTTTATTCACCGAAACAAACACTTAAGTGTACTAGAATAAAGCATGTCTCGACTAATTGAGCCCAACATTTATCTCACCTCTATTACATGATCCAAATTGGGGATTTTTTGGGGCCCCAAAGATTATTTTAGCCAATCCTACTCTTTATTCACCGAAACAAACACTTAAGTGTACTAGAATAAAGCATGTCTCGTATTAAAAGTAGACTAACATTTTGGTAAGTTAATAAACTTCTAGTTGACTTCATAGGTTGAGCCTTAAAAGAGTATGGCACTTTTGTTATCGGAGCGAACGCTAAGCCACAACCCCGACCCGACAAAATTTATTTGGAGCAGTGTAAATTATGGGTCAAACCAATCAAATCCGAATACGAATCATAATTAAAATTCCAACCAAAATTTAAAGACAATCAAATTTTTAAATTTCCTATCCATTACTTTGAATTTAGCGCCGAAACAAAGTCGGGTTCATTTCAAAAAGGCTGTTCACTCCAAATGTACCCTTTGCCTCTTCAGATTGAAGAGATACACTCTTTAATCTGAATAGTGGCATCTCATGCCTCTTCAGATTGAAGAGACACTCTTTAATCTTGAATAGTGGCATCTCATGCCTCTTTAGGCAATCCGAACGGCCACCAAAGTTCTATAAATAAACTGTCACATTAGCCTTTCAATATATCCTAATTCTATATTCTAGTTTCAAAATTTCTTCTTTTTCTGTGCATATTGCTATATTAATTTTTTTTATTCGATTTAAGTATAAATACAAGTTGTGTTAGTTGGAGTCTTGAAAATTGAAATATTGTTTTTTCAAGATTGCTAATGGGTTTTCTGGTTGAAAGAAACGAAACTAAAAACCATGAACTTACTTTACTATGACGGAAAATCAAAATATTAAATCCGAACCTTATAAAACACAATTTGAGACTACTTTTTATACTATCTAGGAGGATCCATGAAAAATGGTTTAAGTGACCTTGTTATTAAATGGAGACATAGTGGGTTAAGCTTAAGCTAAGAAAATTTAAGTGTTACTCACATGTGGGCATTGCCGCCTGTCACATGTGGATTCCAACAAAGTTAAAGTGTTACTCACAGCACCAACACAATCAGTCGTTAGTTCTTACCTGGTGGCATGTAACCGGCTCGAAGCATCTGAGTTCCTGACTAAAATCAGGCAACCCAATAGTGTGATGTAGACATGGGTTAGCGCCATAATAATTTGAATTTGGGCCTCCAACTATGCAGAGGAGAGGCAGATTTTCACTATAAGCACCGGCAATGGCGTTGAGAGCACTAAGCCCACCAACAGTGAAGGTCAAGACACAAGCACCTACACCACGAGATCTAGCATACCCATCAGCAGCATACCCAGCATTCAGTTCATTGCAACACCCAATCAGATTAAGCCCAGGTTCGGCAATGAGATGGTCAAGAAGGGTCAGATTTGAATCTCCAGGAACAGCAAATACATCAGTTATACCTATTTGAACCAGACGACGAGCAATGTAGCCTCCCAGCGTCCCTTTTTCCGGTGATCGGAAAATGGCTGCTGGATGGTCCGATCTTTGTACGATAGAGACCGCCTCATCGTGAGGCCGGCCGTTGCCGACGTTGTTGATGGTGGGTTTCCTAGTGTTGAAGTCTCCTACTATTTTGTTACCATCAATGGATGAATCAACCACATTTGTTCTTAAGTTTTGAGAATGATGTTCTCCACTGATATTCATGGCCTGGACTACACGATGTTCATGTGGATTTGGCATGTTGATAGTGAATGAACAACAGAATGGCCCTTTTATCCCATTGTTTGGAAAGACAGGGGATTGAAGTCGCCATTGGAGCATGTCTAGAGTAGTGTTAGAGCACTGCGCCATTGGTGATAGGAACAAATGAAGAAGGTCTACAGTTCAGAAAGATGGAAGAAGTTTGTTCTATGGAGGGCTTTTTGGTTAAAGGAACTTTTGATTGCTCTGCTGTTTTATGGAGGTGAACATTATGTGGAAGACAGGGAAGAATTTATTTCTCATAGGAATGTTATTTTCATTTAAAATATTGACATAATTTATTGATTCAAGGATGTAATTTTATTAGAATTATTAAATTAATATTAAGTCCCGATATTTGATGAGATGTCCGGTCAATCGAAATATCACAGTGAATTAGGTTAATAAATTAGGTTTATAAATTAAATTATAATAGAATTGCTCCAATATTTATGAATAATGTTATGTTTACTAAATTTTTTTATCAAATCTCCCTCCCAAGTAACATTACATAATTTTTCACCGTAAAATAAGTGAATCTCATTAATTTTTAATAATAAAAATTATATCACACCATATAAGACAAAATATTTAATAAGCATAACATTTTTCCTCATTTATATCACACCATGGCATCAATATTGGCTGGCAATGTTAGCTTGTCAACCTCACAGAGCTGATCATCGATGAGATAATATTTAATATAACGGTGATATTTCAATTAATAATAAAATTTCAAATGAATAAATTGAAGTGAATTACACTTGAGTAATTATTGAATTACATATTTTTTTATATTGACAGATATTTATTGATTTGTGTGAGATTCACTTTCTTATTTATTTGTATATTATTGGTTGAAAAAACCATATAACAATCCTGACGTTGTATCACTATTACAATGAATATTTTTCCCTCATTAAGGAAGAAGTTTGACGTAATAAGATTATTTTATTTTAATTTGGATGTAATGGTTTTAAGCTATGAAAATATTCCCTTTTCATGCATGTCTAATGAAAAATAACCTTCGATTAATCTAAATTTTGATATTTTTGTAAAAAATGTCGCTTCTTATGTGGTGAAAAAAAATACGTGACATATGGACTTGACTATGGTAATGTTAAAAAAATTTCGGCATCATACCAAAAATACAAGGTCACTTCTTTTTTTCTCCCTGGGCTAGCGATGATTAATTACAAGATCACTTGTGGATCATTCTTTACGTGAAATTTGTGATTTAAAAGGGACACTTATACCCCCATTATTATCATAGTAAAAAATTGATTAGTTAGCTAGATTCAATTCACTTCTATGATTTAGTTCACTTACTGATTTTCTAATGAAAACAAAAATACAGGCCCACCTCAAACTTCAGGTCAAGCAACTATGGTCAAGCAATATCAAAATTAATCACCCTTTTGACCAATAAGTTTGGGTAGTTGATTAACGAACCAAATAAAATTTTTGATATCATACCGCTAAATTTTACAAATTGTATGAGATGATAAACAAATTTGTAGGTTTGTTTGATTAAAAAAATTACAATTTTTGAGGTTAAATTATAATTTTTATGAGTCATTTATAACTTTTGTGGTTCATTTGTAATTGATCCTAATTTTAGAATCGATTACAAAAAAGCTCAAAAGTTCTAAATAATTCTCAAATGTTGTAAATAATTTTCAAAACTTATAAAATGACTTTCAAAAGTTGTAAATGACCTTTATAAATTATAAAATTTGTAATAGTAGTATAGTACCAAATTTTTTCCCCAATAGCTTAGACTTCGATAAGTTAGATTGGCATCCCTTAGGGTCGTTTGTTTGTTGTATTATAAGGTGTATTAAAGAGTCATATTAGATTAAAACAATTTAATACATGTTTATACTGTATTTGGATGTAAAAACTTATTTCGTATTATATATGAGATTAACTAGATAAGTATCACATATAGATAATTATAATACAATCTATACGTACTATTGAGCTATTTTAATATTACTAGGAGATAGGGTATTATAATACAGTCTAGGTGTATTAATTCGTTATTTTACAATTTTATGCTCAATCTACAAAAAATTCATGTAATCAATTCGTCTTATTTATTTTAATAAAAATTGCATAGGCAACAACATTAATAATAAACAAATGCACCAAAATACACTTTTACACAATTAAAACATGTTTGTTTAATTCCAATATTATTTAAAAATATTCATGATAAGTAATATTTACATAATTTTTGGTTCTATTTATATAATCCTACAAAATATTGGATTACTATAATTGATCAAATTGGAGATGATTCAGGACATTTTAATCCACTCATTTACTACCATTGAATAAATTATCTAACCAAATATTATATTGAACTTAATGCTTATTATTCAATTTTTAATACCGTACTTAACAAATGTTTGACTAAAATTCGTACTATCTTTATCCCCTATTTAAATTTTGATTTTATCTATCTATTTAGGATTGTTCTATATTATCTAATATAATCTCTCTTTTCTTAAGACGACATCCAAATGACTCCTTAGGGTCTATTTGTTTGGGGTTTTAGTGATATTATTGGGTGGGATAATAAAAAATAATACTTAAGACCCACCCATTACCTTGTTTGATTCACATATTATGTGTAGTATTATTTTTTTAGGTTGTAATATTGACCTGGTGTGTACAGTTGCCTTTAACCCTTCTACATGGCTTTAATGAATACCACCTACCAAGTGGTATTGTTTGCTGGTATAAAGCCACCGATGATATAAATAAGAAAAATGACATAAAATACCCATATGTGTGAGTCCACATATAAAAACCAACTTTCATTCCACAAACCCTAGCCACTCTCAACCTTTTCTTAAGCTGCTAAAACACTTTTTTACTCTGGAAACCACACACAGCTATGCTCCTATGCCTCTCCATCCCCATATTTTTTTTTCTCAAATATTTCGTCAAACATTCTTTACCCTAATGTCGATGGTACTGTGTTAAATATATATGACAATGGAACGATCGCTAGTGATTTGGCCTATCTCAACCTCTATGGGAAAGATTGATGGCGATCTAGCATTTTGTTCTTCTAACTTTTCAATTGCCAATGAAATACAAGCCCAAAAACACATTTGCCTAATCCCCCAACCTTACAATATTCATGTCTTCTTTTTTTTCGGTTGATTTTTTGGAAAGTATTTACAAGTGAAAATTTAAAGTATTTGTATTTTGTAAAAAAATATTTTTTTTCTTTTTTTTACTCGTTGGAGTTCTTCAATTTATGGGTAGTTTGTTCTCTTACTAGTTACGGAATGTTGCCCCTATCCATATTTTAGCCCTTAAAATGTTAAGAATGTTAGTGTAGTTTGATTTTGATTCCGACAGTTATGATATTTTTATATTTGAACAAAAAAGATGTATGATTTGTCGTATGATGATGTGCTAACACTTGCTTATTCATGCAATATGTTTTGTTTTGGTAATTTAATGCGTTCCATTAAATGGGTTTAGATTGAATTACGTCTTTGTTTTATTGGTAAAATAAGTCAACTTGGTGTGAGTGACAGTTGTTATGGACGAAGAAAATGATCTTAGTGTGCCATTGATGGTTGTTTTGGATAGTATCTTCTGTGATATGGTTATAATATGATCATATCTTATTGCTATTGTGGCACCCGAACAAACTAATTAGATATTTTATTTTTGTGTTGAGGGTCTAGATGTGAGTACTTATTTTAATCATTTGATTTAAAATTAAAATAGTTGAAAACACAAGGAAATAAGTATGGGTCCGTCGATAAACTTTTAGTCACAGGTTAATAACTCGAGAAAAATATATAAAAGTGTATATGTTAATTTTACGTGATATAGTAATTTTGGTTCGATGATTAAAAAGTAAGTTATCTGCAATATGAGAAATCTGGTATAATGAAAGTTGAGCTGGATATACAAATATGTATGGAATGATCCATTTATTTATAATTGTAAGAACCGAACATGCATGACAAACATATAATATTTGTAATAAGCATATATACATATGTGACATGCATGCATAAGACTGACGATCAGTATTTAATTACGAATAATGATATGAGACATGAACCTGAACGATGAATATTTTAATAGTCAAAAATAATTTTATAAAAAATGCTTATAGGGGTAATTGTTTTATTTAAAGTGTGAAAAGTTAAATATCAACTTTAACATGTGATATAACTTTATTATTTTGTGTACGTTAGCGCATGTGAGATTAATCGGATGACAAAAATGTGACAACAATTTATTGCAAAAAAAAGAAAAAGTGTTAGTATGTACAAGGAGTGGTTTAGGGTCCAAAATACGAATTTAATGATTTATCAATATTTTTGGATATATATATATATATATCAAATGTGTGTAAGGAATACATATATATACATATATAAGCTAGGGAGTATATATGTATATAAAATACAAGACAATGATGGAAGATTCCACTTAAGAAGACATGCAAGGCATATCTTGCATGCCAAAAAAAACCTAAAACAAGAAGTGTTACACTTAGAATATTTCGGCAAGAACAAGAACCAAAAGGAAAGAAAAAGGAAAGAAAGAAAAAAAAAAGAAGAAAAAAAGTGTGGGTGTAAATGTAAGAATTGTGATCCATTTTTTCCCCCCTAAAATATAGAAATCCAAATCAAATATATATTTTGAGTGTCGTATATATTTAAAGTATGGTGTTTGATATGCGTTTGAATGATGTATATATATGTGAATGATATTTAGTATGAGTTTTGATTTAATGCATGAAGGATTCACCTTTATTTTTATGTGGGTATATGAATTAAGTTAAAGTTGTATGAAAAATAAATGAGTGAAATTGTTGTATATGAGTTGAATTTTGGTTAAGAAAGATTATAGTTTAGTGGGTAATTAGGAATCTTGCGAATTATTTTTGAATTTTCATTAATTTCATGGATATGAGTAATTATAAGAAATCATGCAATCTTATGATTTTATGGAAAATTAAGTAGATTCAAGTATATTTTTGGTTAATATAATTTTATGAGAAAAATGTACATTGGATGTAATGAATTCGAGTAGGTAATTTCAATCGTTATGAATAAATTATTTTCAAGTGAATCGAATTGATCATAACTACAACTTTAATCTATTCGAATAATTAATATTATTAGGTGTAGATGAGTTATTGAATGTGATATGGTTAAATTT